AACCTACAAAAAAAAAAAAAAAAAGCAGAAAACAATTTGTTCCATTTACTAACATTTGTGCCCTTCACGTGTACATTTACGATTCAAACTTTCTGAGAAACAAAAGCGCTTATGCTCCAGAGATTTAATATTTAACTCCTGATATAGAATAATTCGTTATGATCTCTGCACCAAAGTACGCCTATTATTACAAAGCTGATCTAGCAGCAGCCAGTTGGCCACTATGATCAAAACTCCTAATGAACTTCAATATTTATATAAAGGGAGTTGTACAGACACTTGAAGGGAAAAATAAAAAACACCCACCCTTAAAATTTAAAGCCAGATCTACTTTGCAATCATTTGTAAGAGCTATGCATGACCTATGCTTCACTTCCATTAGTGATCCTCCACTTATGCTATAAAAGTGCACTGACTGGTACAGCTGCACGTCTACTCTACAAGTATTTTTATCAAAAACATTAAAAAAGCCCCAAACTGACAACAGTAACAAGGATTATAACTACACAAACACTTAGCCATCTCTAAAAACAGGCACTCCAAGGGCAATGTCATTATCTGTTCCCATACTGCCTCTGCCACTGTACAACATGCATACTATTGGACCAATGTTATTCAAAGAAGTCACAAACTTATTGCATCACATAAAACAATAGCTCATTATGGTGCTAGCTTGTCTTTATCTTTTCCTTTAAAAAAAAAAAGTATTCCCATTCCCCCCGTCAAACAATTGTATAATAAAGAACACACACACGTAGAAATCAGTAAGACATCAAAACTATCAGAACAGGAATCCAGAAAATTCACACATGTTATATAGTCATAATAGCCATATGTTGTTTTAAACAGCTCAATTATGGAACATTTTGTATCTCATGTGTTTTAACTTTATTTTTCAAAAGAATACTATATCCAGCTTGCCCTTAATACTCCATGCTGTTTCTGACATACCTGTTAAACAACAATCTTCCTCTTACCCGTACTTCAGCTAAAACTTTGTTTTACCCGTTCCCTTTCAAAAAGCAATAGTTTGGTAAAAGACACAGGAAATGCCTGATGTCTACAGAAGAAACGTAAATAATCAAATTGTACTGTACCTGATTTCCATGAAGATCTAAAACATCAAGATTTTTTAGGTTCTCCAGATTTGAGATCTTCTTTATTCTGAAAGATTTTAATTATAACAAATTATTTTTCATATTAGTTAAAAAATATATTTCATTTTCCACCTAATACAAAACTTAGCCATTTGTTCCTGCCTACCAAGAGTAACAGAAGAATAACAAGGTTCTGAACCATGTAAAAATAAATAAATAAATAAATGAGTATGCTTTAGACTATCACCTTCCTTTCTGACTGTCAATAATACAATAGCAGCAGTATGTAAGTGGCTCTTCTAGCAAGATGAAAAGGGAAGGAATACTTGCACCACTAGAAAACAAAGTCAAGAAGCAACCTATCCAGATACCTAAATAAAAAAAAAAAATTATTACTGGCAAGCAGCTGATTCCAAACCAGTTCAAAGAAAGACTATAGCAACACAGGTTTTTCAGAGTTTGTTAGAAGAACACAGAATTAAAAAACCTGAAAGCCACTGGCTCTTTCTAGACAGCATAGATCTCTAGATTTAGCAGTATTTCTTCTCCCCCTATACAACTTCACTGTCTTAAAACTTTTCTGTCCTGTCCTATTTTCCTAGGTTATTATATACTCAACCTAGGTTATTATATACTCAACAGCATCATCTGCTGGCTGATGATATTAAAACATTATGTGTCTTATGTTTTTGCTTTGAGAATACTCAAACATCACATATGGATCAAGCTGAAAACGAGTAGCTAGCAACTGTTCTGACTTGCAATCATTTATGAGCATGTCTTGTCCAACCCATACTCCTATGTAAACAAACTATACAGCACTCAATGCAGATATGATTTGGAAAATAATTCCTTAAAGCACCTTAAAATTATCTTTCCCATGCCCCAATACTCTGCTATAAGTAAAATTCATTTCTACAGGTGAGATTTTTAATGTAAAAGCTATAAACTGGAGTAACATACTGCACTATTGAAATTTGTCAGTTTTGAATACAGGCTGAATTACGAGATAGATACATTCTCTGTAATCTGCATGTAACTGAAGTTTATCTGTTCTTCCTTTACAGAATATAAAGAAAATAAGGAAACTGGACAAAATCAGAGCACAACCCTTAGATGTGTGACCAATTCCACAGATACTTCTATTAAATTATTAGAATTACAGGATTTGAACTGTATTTTTAGAAAGTAATACAACTAGCACATTGTATCTCCCAATAGAATAGAATCTATACATAAATAATAAAATCCATAGTTCACCTGATTTTTTTTCCCAGCTAAATACATGAGGCAGAAATACTTTTTATAGGTTATAAAGAATCAATGACCACTTTACATGATGTGAAAAGAGATTCCACCTGTCACACAAATCCAAGAACACATATTTAATACCTGATCAGAACAGAAGATTAGGTGGAAACACGTAAAAGACTTTAGAACTGTTGCTAAAATTTACGTAAGAAAGGAAGTTTCTGAAGAACATTATGAGCAAAAACTGTGTCCTTCCTCAGTGGGATCCTTAACACTTAGCTAGTGTTAGGGACCAGCTCACCAATCTCTCAGCCAGCGTCACAATCTGAAAACTTTGTAAGTAACAGAAACAATGCTAGATCACAGTTGTTACACCATAAAGAAGTAAGGTGCTTTAAGTTAGTTTCATTATTTTTACCTGTTCTTTCCCAACAAAAGGACTCTCAGGGACCTCAGAGCTGAAAGCCCACTTATTTCCTCTATCTGATTATCATATAAATCTAAGAAAACAAGATGCTGCAGATTAGAAAGATTTTGGATCCGGGTTATAAAGTTATGTTGGAAATTCAAAAGGCGAAGATGATCTTCCCCATCGATAATTGGGCACACTGTCAGTTTTTGCCTGGAAGGGAAAAAAAACAAACAAACAAACAAAAAAACCACAAAACAAAACCCACATGTAAGTAACAAATTGGTAACCCACCTTCAACTCACTCATTCTGGCTAAACAGAGGAAAGTATATTATCTTGACCAAGGTGATATTAAGGTAATTAGGCTTGCTAATTAAACTGTAAATGAGGCAGTAACTCCTTACTATATAAAAAATAGCATGAAAATATAGCAGAAGTGCTTCCAAAATTCTCTGAAAACCTGTCCTCTTAATCAAAGATTTGCTTGTTACATGGAAACTATGTGGAAGTTTTGTGTTGTGACCACATTAAAATTTCAACCGATACAGCTTGCCAATTTTTTTAAATTTTTTTTTATCAGATACCATATAAACAGCCTGTTTAGATCAGAATTCAAAGTGTTGATGTCTATGCAACTTTTCTTTGGTTTATAGAACTTTACATTTGAAATATATATACATTAAATAATAAGCATTCATGTGAAAAGTAAAGGATACAGGAAAAAAATGCCAAAAAAGGTGATTCTTATTTTAGGGTTATTCCAGAAGTCGTCCTATTGACCTGACAAAACTTTTTGGACTACATAAACCTTACGACCTCACCCCCCAAC